AAAAAAAAACAAGTATGCTTTTAAAAATAAATTATCTATCTTTTTAAATAAATATAATAAAATAAAAACTTATGATTATTAGAATAATTTAATTTTTTTTCATAAATAATATGCACAAAACACCTTACAAAATATAAAAATTTCGATTTAGATCATCAAAACAGAATTCGGGATCCACAAACCTCTCAAATATGAATTTGATGAAAGCTATAATATAATTCCGCTCAACTTAATCACATAAATCACTAACAGTTGAATTTCAACTCAAATTCAATAAAAATTTCGGGGAAAAAAAAAATCAGCAGAAAAAACCTACTTTACCATACCCAAGATATTTTTTTCTGCCTGATTTTATTAAGGGTTATTTTGGTCAAAAAGTTAAAGAAAGTTACTATAAAAAAATCAACTTTTCTTCCTACTTTTTTTTGCAGATTCTATTAGTAAAAATGTCAAAAAGTCAATTAAAATAATATGTTCTAAAAAAAAATTAATATAGTTATTTCATTGTCATTTGAATGGCAAAATTAGGATCAAAAGCCTAAAACCCATTTGACGAAGCTCTTGAGTCGGCCCCTAAAATATATCACCTATGCTTGGCAGAACAGCTTTTCATGGCCTTATGAACTTTTAAGGCCTGACATCAACTATGAAACTAGTAACTACTGGATTAAGATGAATACAATTTAATCGCATGTATTTGTGTATTTTAGTAAATAATGTTTATGTTTTTAATTTTTCATGATTCAATATTCAATTTTAACTACTGTAATGCACTTCAAAATTTTGTATTATAATTTATTTTAGTTTAGCTGAATTTAATTTTTTTAAAAAAATTGAATTAAAGCCCAAGTTGGGCTTATATGGGCAAGCTTGACTTGAAATTCATATTTTTAAGCCAATAAGTAGAGTTTGATTTTTAAAAATTTAGGATGGGCCGGCTGTGCGAAATTAGCAAATCAAGGACATGGGCTTAGGCCTTAACTTTCAGGGCCGAGTCGGGCAACGCAGACCATTGGCTAGGCTTAGGGCATAGTCCAGTAATGTCAAACAAAATCATGATGGGTGGTTATAGTGGGAGAAGTTAATTGACTGCTATATACTCATATATTGATGGAAAAAACCAATTCCAACTACAAATATGTGAACTGATTATAAACATCTACACAGTTGCTTAATCTACAAACAATATTTTTATTTTTGTTTTTATTGAATAACAAAAAAATAGAGATAATTAAAATTCAAGTTCTTTAATCTACAAACAATATTTTCACTGATTTGAAATTATTAAGAGTAGGAAATGAACATTAATAAATAATTTCACTGATTTGAAAATATTTGTTTTCTCTATATTCTAATTATTTTTAATCTACAAACAATATTTTTATTTTTGTTTTTATTGAATAACAAAAAATATAGAGATAATTAAAATTCAGCGTAAGTTCTTTAAAATAATTTCAAATCACTGATAAAGTGATAAACTTTATGAATATTAATAATTAAAATCTTAAATCTATTCATGAATTTGTAATTATTTTGTACAGTGATAAACAATATTAAGAGTAGAACATGAACGTGAAATTATTTATTATCTCTATTCTTTAATTATTTTTAATCTACAAGCAATGTTTTTATTTTTATTGAATAACAAGAAATATAGAGATAATTAAAATTCAGCATAAATTCTTCAAAATAATTTCAAATCAGTGATAAACTAAACTTTATGAATATTAATAATAAAAATATTAAATTTATTCATGAATTTGTAATTATTTTGTGAAAACATAAAATAAAAAAAATTATAATTTCTCCAATATATACACATTTTGATGTAAATTAAGAGTAGAACATGAACATTAATAAACAAATAATAAAACAATAAAAGGGCTAAAAGTGTAATCTAAGAACAATACACTCACATATACAAAGACCAAAATAAATGAATATAAGCTTGGGAAATGGAGTCATACCGATTTAGAGGAGGCTATTTTGAATGAAGACTGATGTAGCGAAACACCTGCAATGGAAAAAAGAAGAGACCATTGATCCACTTCTTATAGCTAATACACGAAACCATAAATCATTGAAACAATAACTGTGTCAAACATTAGTTGGATAGAGTTTGTAACAACATAGAAGTATTGTCAACGTGGATAAGGAACAAATAGAGATTTGTGTGAGATCTCTGGATAAGGAACAAATAGAGATTTGCGTGACATGTTTGTTATCATCCTCTCATGTTTGTTATCATCCACTTCTTATAGCTAATCTGTGAAACCATAAATCATTGAAACAACAACTATGTCAAACATTAGTCGGTGAGAGTTTGTACTAACATAGGAGTATTGTCAATGTGGATATGGAAACAAACAGAGATTTCTGTGACATGTTTGTTATCATCCTCTCATGATTTGTAAGTTTCAAATACAAATTTAAAATTATCATAATTTTTGTATTAAAAAGTAGTAAGAGTGACATTGAAATTATTTATATATTTATATATATTACAAAAAATACTTTTAAGAAGAGATATTATGAGAATTTCAAAATCTCACTCAAAATCTATATACTATTATAATTGCAAAACGTTATCATCTTATTAAAGCTGAAAGTTGCAATTATTTTTTGTATTTTATTTTTTTTGATTTTGTTTAATTTTTGTTGATATGTGTCACAATATAATTGGTCTATAAATTAATTTTATATTCGTAAAATAAAATTTTAAATTTAGATTCTTCCTTAAATTATGTTACCAGAATAAGATCAATATGCATTCCTTAATTTATGCATCTTTTATTGAATTATAAAATAAAATTTTTAATTTTAATTATTTTTAAAATTATGTTACTACAATTAGAATGAGATTAATATTCACATGTGTCATAATATTATTAGTTTAAACATAAGATGTTATTAAATACACGTATTCAAATTATTAATCGCTATCAAAAGTTTATATTTTTATTTTTTATCATTTTTTGTTTTAAATTTTATAATTTTTTTTATTTGTTTCTAAACTACAAGGACTTAAACAATAATTTTTTTTTAATACAATTCTTTTTTTTTTTTAACGAAAGACAAAAACATTAAGAAAATGATTGACTTTTTCAACAATTGACAACACATAATGGATTCCATTAATTTTTTTTTTTATCTCAACTGTCAATTAAACAAATTAAAATAAAAAAAAATTGACTTAATTAGTTAAGAAGTGACTTTTGTTAAAATAAAATAGAAATAAACATTTTTTTTCTCTTAAAAGTGATTGTTGGTGAAATTTATTTATTTTTATATAATAAAAAAAAAGAAAATGAGAGTTACACGCGATAATTTATTATTTCAGTAATACTATAGACCCATACTTTCACCCACAATGATGTGGTAAGGGAGTTGGGCCCCATGTCATTGAGTGTATAACAAATCAAGAGTTGACACATATGATACAACATCATTGTGGGTACAAATGTGGGTATTTTTTTTGTGGGTCTTAAACATTTTCGTTATTGTTTTCTAGACTTTTTTAGTACTTGCGAAATATGATGGATCCGGTTAATTTTTTTTAAAATCTCAATTGTCAATTAAACAAACTAAATAAAAAAATGAAATTTTTTTAGCTCAAATTGCAAAAAAAGTGACTTTTGTTAAAAAAAATAGAAATAAATGTTATTTTCTAATAAAAGTAATGGTTCGTGAAATATCTTTTTTTAGTTGAAAAAGAATGAGGGTTATAGGTGATAATTTATTGGTCATCTAGAATTATTTTAAGATCAAATGAGAATACCATTCTAAATTTTCTTCTTACCTTTTTTTAATTTTTTATCCAGATACTTTTATTTTGTAAGAAATTTAATTTTATTATATTTAAATATTTTATTATAATTTTTAAATTAAAAATAATTTTTGAAAAATTATATTTAAATTATTTTATGACATTATAAAATGTAATTTTTTTTTTAATATCAACTTATTTGATGATCCATTTCTAAAAGATATATTTCCTTTTGTTTATTAATATTAAAATTTTTATTAATCTTATTTATTATTAAAAAAATAAATTAGCAAACAATTTTATATATTTATATATACAATTTTATTTTGATTGCTCAGGTTAGTTGGTGTTTCTGCCTGAACCCATTTAAATTTATTCAAATTTTTTGAATTTTACGTAGATTCTCGCCGAATTAAAAATTATGTTGCTCAATCTTTAAAATTTTATAGACTTGACTCGAGTAGATTGGATTGAACTCGGCCAAATTTACAATTCTAGTAAAGGGGTTGAAAGTTACATAATTGAAATTGTGATAAATTAAAAATTAATACATAAATTGTGATAAAATTGTGAAACTTAAATTATAAATTTTAATATTTTATTATTTTCATAATTTACATATAAAAATCTAATTATTCATATTATTTTTTATAAATATATTTTATTTATTTTTTCACATCCTGTGCAGGGGACGGGTTTTGAATAATAGACGTATAAAAGAAAGATAGTGCGTGAGTTTTTATTTCAAAGGAGGGAGGAGGGGTCAGAGATTGTCTTATGAAAAAGTGCCACCTAATTTTTCAAAATTTGAGAATTTGTTTAAAAAAAAAAAATAGGAATGGGACTTTTGAGATCTCTTATGTACGCACTGCATTTGTATAAAAATTAGGTGTGCGAATCAATTAAGGCCAAATTTGAGAAGATTCAAAAAAATCAAAAAGTCAAAAAGTTACTCAAAAAATTAAAAAGTTAACACTATTCACCAAAAGTCAACAATTACGGCTGCACAACTCTCAATTCAAATTTTTCCCTATAAATCAATTTTTATAATTTTTTATTACATATTTTTTTATAAAAAATCAAAAAATTAATCCAAACATTTATATTTTTAACCTCAATTTTTTAATTAAAAAAATAAAAAATATATATTTATTTAGGACATTCCAAACTACCCTTAAAAATTCAAAGGATGTTATAGAGGCCTTAAAAAAAAAAAACAAAGAAAGAGGTCTCATCCTACATTTATACATAGAATTGGTGGGCAGAGACAGAGACAGAGACAGACACAGAGAAACATGGACGGAAATGATGATGATGATAAACAGGTCCAGTGGTCTACACTTCCGAAAGATGTGATACCCATTCTCAGCAACCGCCTCGAAACTCGCATCGACCTCCTCCGCTTCCGCTCCGTCTGTCGCTCATGGCGCTCCTCCTCCGCCGCCTCTCTCTCTTCACCTCCTCTCTCTCTCCCCAACCTCCCTTTCCCCTTCTCTCCCCTCGCCGCCGACCCCCGCCGTGGCACCTTCACCGCCGCCGCAACCACCGTCTTCCTCCTCCAACCGTTCGACGAAATTCCCCACAGAACTACTTCCCACTATCTAATCAAGGTCGAAGAAGATGCCAAAACCCGTCTCGTCTGTCCAGTCTCGGACCTGGTCCAAACCCGTTTTCCCGCTGGGTTTCCGAAAGAAGTCAATTTATTGGAGTTTCGCATATCTCAAGTTCACAATTCCTACACATTTCGAAACCTCGAGCTATTGAATTGTAAGCCAATCGAAGCTGGGCTTCCATTTGTGAAGAAAATTGTTGTTCTGGGTTCGAACCCAGATAGTAGAATCGTTGTTGTGGTGTATGAGATGTGGGATTTGGATGGAAGATTGGCTATGTTGAGAGTTGGAGACGATTCATGGACTCCAATTCATACCCGACACTTTGTTTGTGATGATGTTATAGTCTATAAAGGGAATTTCTACACTGTTGATCGATCAGGCAGAGCTTTCGTGCTCGGCCCGAATATGAATTTGATTGAAATTGCGCCACCGCCAACAAATGAAAATGGGAAGAAGAAGAAGAAGCATTTGGTTGAGTCCATTGGTGATCTGCTTTTGGTTGATAAGTATTTTGAATTACACGAAAGGAATGTTTTTTACTACAAAGATGGGAAAGAGAGGGTTAAGAGTAGTAATCGTGAAATGGTGTCTGAAATGAGAGTTTATAGGTTGAATGTAGATGAACATAGATGGGTTGAGCTGAGAAGCCTCGAAGATCAGATTTTGTTTGTGGGTGATGATTGTTCCTACTCTGTTTCGGCTAGGGAGTTTCCCTTATCCATTTATCTCGGATTCCGATATCTTTGGAGATAACCTCGGCCTTGCCGAGATCACCTCGGCGTCATGACCAGGACACGTGGCACCTCGGCTGACACGTCGGCGTCACCTTGCCACGTGTTAGTACTCAGAAAATATATCCCCACAACTGCCCCCTAGGTTCTATTACCTCGGTATTTTGAGGTGATGAAACCTACACTGTTCGTTCATCTGTGCCCCTCTGTCCGAGATCAAACTCACCGACCTCAAAGTTCCCTGGACTTTACTATCCACTGGTATCAAGAATCAAGTTTCTTGCTTTCCAAGCTGCTTGAAATCGCACCTCCTAGCCAAGGTTCTGGTTCCATTAATTTGTAAACTCCAAGAGCTTTGCAACTGCTCCACTCACACTCTCTGGTGAGTTCCCGAGTTCCAGTCATCTATTTGACTTCGACGATTTTCACATCGGCGTTCATTTCACTTTGTAGGTTCATAAACTCTTTACTTGCTATTAAGCTCAATCTTTCATAACTCTTCTGAATCTGTTTACTTGCCATCTGTTGCCTTCTATTTTCGTCTGTCTTCAAGTTTTGAATTGTTTGAATGCCTGACACTGTTCTTGTCATATCCGCTTTTTGTTGCTAGCATCGTGTCTGGGTTATTACTTTCTTGTTCTTCACATACTTACTTAGTGCCTGTGCATTTGGCTTTATTCTTGAACTTTGTCGTCTTCTTGACTATTTTTCTCTTTTTTCATTCAATCCTCTGGCTTTTTCTCTTTCTAGCTCTTTTGCTTAAATCCGTCATTGTTCCAAGCTTTCAAGCTTCTGCAACTGTCTTCGTTCCTCTCCTCCGGTGAAGCTTACGTCATTCTGTCATTGTCGTCAGACTTCGACAATTCTCATTCCGGCTTCCCTCTTTCTGGTAAGCCATTGTTCCTCTTGATTTTATTTCTTGTTGCTTTCCAAGAAGCTCTGCTTCATTGTTAATCACCATTGCTGTTTTACCCGTTGTTTCCAAATCATCTTCTTGAATACACACTGTTCACACATCTGTTGATTTCTGCCACTGTTCTTGGCTTGACACACTTGTGCAATCTTTTTGTCTTGATTTCCTGATAGCTTCATCATCATTCTTGATTACGAATTACATTCTAGTTTTTGTTTTCTGTGTCTTTTTCCAGATTCTTGCTTTCAATCCTTGTCTTCAAACTCCGAGGTGCCAATCGCCGAGAAGAGCCTTGATCAAACTCTTCGGGAGATCGATGCTGAGCTCGAGGCCGAGAAGGCTATTGAGAAGTCTTCCCAACTTTCTTCTATATCCTGCCATTGATGCCGAGTAGTTTTGTTTCCTTCTTTTACTCCTTGTACCTTGTACTTTGTCCGTCTTTGTATGCTTTTAATCCGGCCGACGTGCCATTTTTGTAGTCTGAATAATTTATTTTTCAATATTCAGGCCGAAGTGCCTTCTTTCTTCTTTAAATGCATTTATCTGATTTCTTCTTTGAATGTATGTCTTCTTTTTTCTGCTCTTGTATGATTCTATACTTAGAATAATTTGCATGTCTTCAAAGTACACCTTGACTGTACAATCTCTTCGGGTAAAATACCTCTGTCACAACTTCTAATCTTGCTCGTCTCGGCTTTGTCCTAACACTTGAAAATATTGGAACAAATATTTTCACAAGTGTTGCTTAGGACTTATCACTTTCTCAATGTCTTCTATCAAGACTTCAATTTTCCATATTTCAAGTTTTGACAACCTGGTAGTCTCGGCAAGTACGCAGATATTGCTTGAACTTGACTTTAACTTGTAATTTTTTCTCAAAAATTTTCAACAAGTGTTTAACCATCATCCTTTATCATAACCTCGGCTTAACTTCAGCTTGTAAATTTTTCTCAAAATTTCTACAAGTGTTAAACCATCTTCCTTTATCATAACCTCGGTTTGATTATAACTTGTAAATTCACACAGAATTTCAACAAGCGTTTAAACCAATCTTCTTCCGATACGACTTCGGTTTAACTTCAACTTGTAAATTCACAAAGAATTTCAACGAGTGTTAAATATGGCCTCGGTTTAACTTCAACTTGTAAATTCACAAAGAATTTCAACGAGTGTTAAATATGGCCTCGGTTTAACTTCAACTTGTAAATTCACAAAGAATTTCAACGAGTGTTAAATATGGCCTCGGTTTAACTTCAACTTGTAAATTCACAAAGAATTTCAACGAGTGTTAAATATGGCCTCGGTTTAACTTCAACTTGTAAATTCACAAAGAATTTCAACGAGTGTTAAATATGGCCTCGGTTTAACTTCAACTTGTAAATTCACAAAGAATTTCAACGAGTGTTAAATATGGCCTCGGTTTAACTTCAACTTGTAAATTCACAAAGAATTTCAACGAGTGTTAAATATGGCCTCGGTTTAACTTCAACTTGTAAATTCACAAAGAATTTCAACGAGTGTTAAATATGGCCTCGGTTTAACTTCAACTTGTAAATTCACAAAGAATTTCAACGAGTGTTAAATATGGCCTCGGTTTAACTTCAACTTGTAAATTCACAAAGAATTTCAACGAGTGTTAAATATGGCCTCGGTTTAACTTCAACTTGTAAATTCACAAAGAATTTCAACGAGTGTTAAATATGGCCTCGGTTTAACTTCAACTTGTAAATTCACAAAGAATTTCAACGAGTGTTAAATATGGCCTCGGTTTAACTTCAACTTGTAAATTCACAAAGAATTTCAACGAGTGTTAAATATGGCCTCGGTTTAACTTCAACTTGTAAATTCACAAAGAATTTCAACGAGTGTTAAATATGGCCTCGGTTTAACTTCAACTTGTAAATTCACAAAGAATTTCAACGAGTGTTAAATATGGCCTCGGTTTAACTTCAACTTGTAAATTCACAAAGAATTTCAACGAGTGTTAAATATGGCCTCGGTTTAACTTCAACTTGTAAATTCACAAAGAATTTCAACGAGTGTTAAATATGGCCTCGGTTTAACTTCAACTTGTAAATTCACAAAGAATTTCAACGAGTGTTAAATATGGCCTCGGTTTAACTTCAACTTGTAAATTCACAAAGAATTTCAACGAGTGTTAAATATGGCCTCGGTTTAACTTCAACTTGTAAATTCACAAAGAATTTCAACGAGTGTTAAATATGGCCTCGGTTTAACTTCAACTTGTAAATTCACAAAGAATTTCAACAAGTGGTAAACATCATATCGATTTAACCAACTTGTAAATTGCTACAAATTTCAACAAGTGTTTAAACAATAATCTGAGTTTAACTTCAACTTGTAAATTGTCCATAAATTTCAACAAGTGTTAAATAATGATTTCAGTTTAACTTCAACTTGTAAATTGTCCATAAATTTCAACAAGTGTTAAACAATAATTTCGGTTTAACTTCAACTTGTAAATTCTAACAAATTTCAACAAGCGTTAAGCATTACTTCAGTTT